CGGAGCAGATCATAAAGGCCTATTCGAAATTTCGAAAACTCTACGTCCTAAGCAAACTAACAATTTCAAAACTAAAAGGACAAAAAATGTTTAAAAAATGAAATTAAATGCTTTATTTTCTAGTAAACAAAGACTAATGAGAGACATTAAATTTGCCGAACATTTAAAATGAAGGAGACTAATAACTAATGAAAGAGATTAAATTTGCCGAACAACAAAAAACGCGGACACATCATTCAAAAAACGTGGGGTGCATCACCTAAACTTTGTCCTATCATAATTAATTACAAAACTTACTCTACGGCAGAGTTGAAATTTTTAAACTATCTAACTATTGTAATATAATTGTGAATTTTTAACTTTTACATTTATATTTTGCTAAAGGTCTACCACACTTGATCGCTTCTGCCCGTCGAACCCCAAAGACAACTCCTCACAGATCGCTTCGAGACTCGCGTTCATCAGATAAATTGTTGTTGTAGTTCATGTACGTCGCACTTGAGCTGCACAATGGGCTATTGGCGAAAACATCCCTGAGGATGATCCGAAGACATGCCATCACAATTTTGAACCTCTGCAGAGGGAGTGGCACCCTCGCTTCGGTATCCCGACGACCTGCAAGCGAAGTCGAGCACTTTATGGTAGAACAGTTTAACGAGGGCCAATACCACACACCCTCGGTCCCTGCGCAGACTGATCCAAGTGGTCATCCACCCGCACACTGACCGCAGCCAGTGAGGCGTGACTTCTGTGATCTGCTGGAAATCGTGTCTTAACGGCCAGTTCATCAGATAAGAAAAACGTCGACGCATCATTTTCATTGCAAACTTCTATCACCACCGAAATTTTCCCCACACATTTTTCGAAATTTTTTAGCCTTACGTTTCTCGTTTTAGGTCTAAAAAAGTAAATTGATTTTCTCAGTTTAAATTTACTGGGAAAACTTAGTTTTCATAACAGGAATTTTATTTTACTATTTAAAACAAATTCAGAAAGAGCAGAAATCATTGCAATCTTCTAATATTAGATTATTTTTACGAATATAGTATTTATAGCAGGGCGTGAAATGTCCTAGCTCCATTTCCCTTTTGGCGATCAAATATTTAAAGCAGGCGAGTAGGTTTCAACATTTGAAACGTTCAGTTTTAAATTAAACTATATACGTTCAATTAGATTATCCCCTGAGTCACCCATTTTTCACCTGAGAAACTATTGCTTCCAGGAACTTTGAAACTTTATTTGGTTTTTAACTCACTGTCTTGTAGAAAGTAGTGATTGTTTCCTACAAAATAGTCGTACATGTAAGAAACCTCATGCAGTAGGTAGAAAAACCTCCGAATTTTATGCATCGAATCCTCCAAATAAGACAAAAATGACCCTTCATATCGCAGTTTTCTAATTTATAACCGGCTTTGAACAGCCAACACAATTCTGTGTTTAATACTATCAATGTTCAATTCCGTAACCTTGTAATTTTGAACCCAACTCTGAAGACAAGAGAACTTCTGGATCAAGCATTGGGAGAAATATCACTTCGAGAAGGACTTTTTTTGATAGAACTAATCTGAATCTACGTTACATGGAGAGAAAAACCATGTACACCTCCCGTGGTTAGCCTCACGGCATGGGAATTCTAACCCATGATCCGTCTACTACTAAGGATATTTTACGTCAGCACTGTGTTCGGTGAGAGTCGGATGCGGAATTCTTATCGACAAGACGTTGCTGTGATTCGAACCTGGGCCATATAATTGGGAGGTGAACGCACTACCCCTAAATAGTTGTATGAAGTGAGAATATTTGCAAGCAGTAAGAACAAAAATGTCGAAACCTGAGGATTATAAATTTTTATGGTAAGAACTATGCCTTGCTAAAGTTCATTCCTTAAGTTTTAATTAAGTTCATTCATGCTTTTATGATATCAATCACCCAAAATTCATTCATTCTGCAACTGTTAAATTGTAAAAAATTTCTCATTTTTCATGAATGTAAAAATTGTTGTAGCAAGCAAAACTACTAGTTTAATTAGTACCTTTAAAAATGAAATTTAATGCCCTGATTTACAGTGAAAAAATTATTTTTTCGTTTTTGAATTTCTTCTTTCAGTGGAGGAAAGGACAATGGCGGATGTCAGTTGGTTGGAATGCAATCCGGATGGATCCTATAAGAGTGCTCAGTGCTCTTATTTCGGTGGTGCAGGAAAACGAGCCTGCTTCTGCGTCAATCCAGACGGATCTATAGACTGGGAAAAAGGATATCCAGATGAATGTTAGAAAATAGGAAAACAAAAATATAATGTATGAAAATAAGTGTTGAAATAAACATCTTAATGCAATCTGATTGTTGTACTGTATTAAACTAGCATTCATGCAAAAATTTTGCTTCTTAAGGGTGTTCCGAGAAAGCTGCCCTTTATATTTAGAATCTTTATCAAAAAGAAAAAAATGCTCATATTGGAGTACACAAATGGGCAGAACAAAAAACTATTGAAATCTGACAAATCACAGTTGATGAAGGCTGTAATAAGAACATTAAAAACCTGTTTCATTGTGAGAGAAAACAGAAAAATGTACATTGGACACACTTTCAAGTTTCAGTCTGCAAATCAGAGAGGTTTTGGGGTTCTATACATCCGCGTTATATAATTATATTTTGCCAGATTTTTCAATAACGTTTTTGGTGTATTTCCTTGCTTTATTTATTTTCGACCCTGAATGCCAATACGTTTTGTTTCTTTTTTTGAAAAGGGTAGCTAAAATAAATATTAAAGGTGGTATTTGAAGAACACCCTACACAACTGATGAATCAAGTGTAAAATTAGATTTATCGACACTTTTTAAGACCTTGGAAACGAAAATTCATAACCTTATAATCTTAAGAACCATATTATCGCAAGGGAAGGAATGATCAAAATAATACTGAATACTTATATAAAAATTCGTTAACGCAACAATTTTATTCAACAACAAGATTAAATAACATAAATTATTTTCTGAAAGAATTTTAATCCTTATTAAACAACATAATTTTAAAATGTGTCTTTCTAAAACTTGATTTTCATGGGTTAAATAGTTTCTGAGATAAAAAAGAAGTATTTAAAAAAGAAACATTTTATTTTTGAGATTTTACTTCTCAGCAATATTAAAATTTTAAAAATCTGTGTTTTAAATTAAATTACATTATTGCAATTAATTATAACAAAAAACAATAACTGATTCTAAAAAGCAATTTTTGTCCTAAATTTCTATTGTATAAAAGTTTTTTTTATAACCTATTCATAAAAAGTTTAATTTTGGCCCACTAGTTCCAGAATAATGGAGAAATAAGCTTTTTACTCAAATTGAATAAATATTTATGTGTTAAAAAGGACAGAATATTTTTAAAAACAATGTACAAAATTTTCAGATAAGAACGAACAGTCTAAAATTAGTATATGAACAACATACTGTTAGCTCAACCTTATAGGAGAAAACAGATACCTAATACAGAATAATTAAACTAGTTACAAAATAATGCAACAATATTTCAAAATTTTATGCTCTATAACAATGTTTTTGAAATAGTATCTGTACGAATTAATCTTCCCAACACGTTCAAAATTATATTAAAGAATTACATAAGATCATTAAACATTAAAAAATAATACTTTTTTATTAAAAAATATGCACAAAATATTTAAAAAAAATCCTGCCGTGGATTATCATAGGATTAGACTAACTTATGTCTATGAAGTTTGATTTTTCAAAGTTAAATTAATTTAAAAGATAGATCTTTTTAAATAAAACTTCTAGGCAAATTTCAAACAAAACTTTTTAGTAAATATAAATTTATGTAAAAGTTGCAAGTCGAATTTGTATAAAAGTCTTGAATTCTCTTAAGAATGAGATGGACTATAATTTCTTTGGTCAAGATAAAAAGAGAAAAAAACAACAGAATGCAGTCACTATTAATATAACACGATGTTTTATTACATTAATAACAGAAAAGTTTTTTTTTTGCTTAAAATTTCGCAAATGTTAGGCAAAAGTTTTAGCTATCTCAGAAAATACAACATGGTGTTATATTATAGGTAGGTTATTTACAAACATTTTTCAATATATTTTAATAGAAAAATTTACTTTTAAAGCAATTAGTTCTGCTAGTGCATTGATTGGATAATATTTATATTAGGGGGACCGGAAAGTAATGTCGTTTCGGCACATTAAATATTCGTTAGTCTTGAAAATCAATTCATTTTTTCAGATCCATTTCGATTCATTTTCGATCCGGCAATTGAAAGGTTGTTCTTAACGAGTGTGAACACTTTATTGATTAAAAATAAAATCGCGATAACAAATATCAAATTCACCGAAACGACATTACTTTCCGGTCCCACGAACATTATATTGGAATATATTGTATTACCCATATATTTGATGCGCAAACTCCTAATTTCATTTTAATTGAAAAAATTTAAAATTTCGAAAGAAAAATGCTTTTGAAACTACTTTCATTCAAAAAGATGCCACATATTTTTGCTTGACGCAACTTATAAAAAGTTCACATTTTCCCAACTGCACCACTTTTGTTAGTTCAGATCATTATACTACTTCTGAATACCATTTCTGTTTATAGAAATACTAATGACAATAGAGCTATGTGCGTTCCTGATTGAAGTAAAAACTCATACGCATTCGAAAATATACTTAATTGATGTTTCAATTTAGAACAAAGGCTTACGATTGTTGAATACTTATTGCCGACAAATTCAGTGAAAGACAGCAGAAAGTTATTCATAACTCAAAAAACTGAGATAGAACATTTGTATTTTTGTGATTTTCATGAAAATTCATTATGCACCAATATTATTTCCAGCCGCAATGAAATGTCTTATTTTAATATTTTATGAGCTCTATTTCACTCCATGTCGAAAGAAGTACCTAAAATATATTTAAATGATAAAAAAATGCTTCATAATAATTCACAGAATTGATTTAGTAACTCCAGTTAATAAAATTTTATTTTAGTGTCCTCTTTCGATTTTGCGTTATGATCAGATGATGAAGAAAAAGTTTTTGGTGTGACCGTGTTTATAGTTTTAAAGGAATGCGATTTACACTAAACAGAACTTTTTTATTTGAAAGGAGCTAAAGGTAGGTAATATTTTGTCTCTTGGCTTTACATCTTTGTAGTCAAGTAATATCAATGATATCTGAAAATTTTTACTGAAAAGGATTCATAGTATTGTTCACATCATTGACATTATTGTTCACATCATATTATTTTATCATTTGCGGTGCGAATACCATGACTCGATCGTCAAATTTTAAAAAAAAATTTTAAAAAATAAGATTCATTTTTTAAGAGATACTTATAAAAAGCAAATCATGCTCACATCCTGCAAAACATGTTTTGACACAGTAGAAAAGTACTGTTTTAAAAAAAATGCATTGCGTACACAGACAATCTCAGACAGTCTACAGTTCTCTAACAGACATAGAAAGTTTACAGACTGTGTCGTTAAAAGCAATACAAAGGAGTTAATTATTTTTGAACAAAAATAAAGTTAATAATCCGACTAACAACATGTATATTGGACTCTTTATTACAAAAAAAAACTCATTTTTATGCACATTTGACTTTATTTACAAATTTGGTGTTTCCATATATACTATGTCGGGAGGTCGGGTCTAAGTTGGATATGTCGGGCTTTATATTTGGTATCATTTAACAATTTTGAAACTGCCATAGTTTTAGACAAAAGGTGCTATTTGTAGAAGCAAATGGTAAATCTTAAATAAAAAATTTTTCGATTCTAATGTATTATTCGGTTTGCACCGACCGCAGTGCTGACGTTAAATATCCTCAGTGGTAAACGGATCATGGGTTAGAGTTTCCCTGACATCAGGCTAACCGTGAGAGGTTCTCGTGGCCTTCCTCTCCATGTAACGCAAATATGGGTTAGTTTCATCAAAAAGTTCTCCACGAAGGCGAATTTCTCCCAATACTTGATCCAGAAGTTCCCTTGTCTTCTGGATTGGGTTCAGAATTACAAGGCTACGAAGTTGAATATTAATAGTCAAAACCCCAAAAATTGGGTCTGCTGTTCAACGACGGTTATACAATGAAACTTAAACAGTTCAAATTTTTATTTTCAATTATTTACTTTAGATCGTTCGAAAGTGAAAGCGTATTGTCCAGAGGCGAGAAAAAACACCCGTAATGTTATCAGCATCTTAAAGTTTTCCGTTTCTTTTCTTACATATATTTCTAATATTTTTCATAGTTAAGGGTAGAATATTTGTAATTGTCCATCTTAGAAATCTTATGGGTCATACATAAACAGTGTAAATAAAAAAATTTAATAATAGTGCAATCGGTTTTTTTTCCTCATGTATTTGTATTTTTTATACTTCTAGCAGAACATTAATACGGCTTAAAAGAATTAGCAAACACTTCGAGTTGGCAATTTGTTTTAGAAATTACGAACTAATCATTTTGGTGCTCGTATAACAATGATCAAAACTGTTTTTTATTATTATTATTATTATTATAGGAATAAAAAAATGAGAATTTGGTATTTCCTGATATTACTGTTCTGTTTTATTTCTATTTTGAATGCTCGTGTTCGAACAAAATGTGAGAAAGAACGAAGAAAAGCTATGTATCGAAGTAAGAGATTTTTTATTTTACATTAATATTTTATTTTATTAAATATTTTAGCACGTTTGTTCTAATATTAATGTAGAACAACTGAGGGGAAAGAAAACACACTCAAAAATTCCGGATCAAATTACGGTATAAGGTACCGGCACTTTAAGTCCGTGAATATCCATTTCCCATCTGTGATCCAGATCCCATCAGTGAAAATCCATTTTTACCGTAAAATATTATACCGTAATTTTCACAGAAATATTTATTTAATTAGAATGATTCAGTGATTTTACGGTACTTATCACCGTAAAAGTTACGGTATATCAGATTTGTTCCGTAACATGTTCTGGTAAAAATGTAAAAAGTACCGGTATCTTTTGTGCCGGTGCTTTTTATTATGGGTGCCAGTACTTTTTACAGAATAGTCCATCTATGTCTTCACAATTTTGGTAATTTACTAATGGCTCCTCTGCTTTTTTAGACAGACGAACTGCGCATGAAGTTGAGCTCTTTACGGTAGAACAGTTTAAGGCTGTTTTTCAAAGGCTCCATCATAATGTGAAATGCTTTTTTGCGAATAATATGCTATTTTTATAACTGCTGTGAGTTTTCAACTGTTACTCGTGACTGTTAGGTTAAGTTAAGCCTATATAAAGACAGCGCTGTCTACGCTTATGTTGAAAATGGCGCAAAACTTTAATAATGAGAAAATGAAAATCATTTGTGGTCTAATTTCTTGATATTTAAAAACTTACTCCAATGCTGCATTACCTGGGATCACAAAAATTTGCAAACAATGAGAATACGACAGTGATTCTGATAGTTTTCAACTAGGTTGAAAAATGCTGCCAAATTGGCGATTTTAAAAAAGTTTAATAACTTTTAAAATATTTAAGTTATTTGTTTGTTCTAAAGCCCAGATAATTCCTCACTGCAAAATTATGTATATTGTTTAAAATCATTGCATTGCTTCAAGTGTAAGGAAATTAAACTATGTTTTTTTTTTTAATTATTTATTTTCCATGGAGACAAAGCTTCGAAAAACGAGAACCGATAACGCGCGGCCCAACACCTCCTAGAAGAAGAAAGGCCTCAGCACGGATCAAATTAGTAGTCCGATGTGACGAAGTTAACTGCGCAGTAGATGAAAAATAAGAAAGATGTCATTGCGTTTAGACTACTAAAGGATATTTATGGTAACCCGTGCTGAGGCCTGCTCTTTTCTTGGAGGTGTTGCGCGGCCTTGGTTCCTTCGTGTGCTGATCAAAGAAGTCACCCACCCACACAATGACTGCAGCCAGTGATGCTTTACTTCACCGATCTATTGGGAAATTCTCAACGATCAGTATACAGCGGGACCACTATATATTTAATGATCCAGAACTATCAGCTGCCTTTCGAAATATTTCTCTTTTCATTTCAGCATTTTATAGTACAAAATTTATTTTGTATTAATTTTGGCACGCCCTTTATGTGTTGTATTCAGAGAAAAAAAAAACATCTTTTTTTTTCTTTTAGATTTTAACCAATTGCATCATTGAAAATATTGAATTTATTTTATACGCAACCCGTCAAAGCATCCTGCCACCATAAACATGATTTGACTTGCTTAACCCATTGCAAAGAGAAACAAATATTTCATTTTAAAAAATTTAAAAATCATCCTTTTTAGCAGAATACACAAATTTTCCTCTAATGCTCTGTAACTAAATTTAGCTTTTTGTTTAAATTCCGCAATTCAAAATAAAAAAAATAATATATTTGTTAGGTTATCAAATAAAAACCAAATGCTCAACATACATGTCTGACGCATGTTATGCATCATCTTTTGCTTGTTTGTTGCATCATTTAAAGCGTTTACAAATATATGTTCTTAGAAAGCTCTGAAATTAGATTTTACGATCAATATAACAAAATGCTCGTTCTTATCACTTCATAAAAATCGCGCTAAGAAACAGATGTGTAAATGTTTGTTGCAATGATTTTTAATGCTATCCTTTTTAGCCGTGCTTATCTAAATTGAAAATCTTTAAGAGTTCAATTGCTTTGAAGGAAACAACTTGCAGTAAGTAAGTTTCTCAAACTGAAATTTCTTTTAGTAATTGTATTGATGCTTTCGAATTAAGCAGTATGTTTGCTGAAATAATATTTTTTTTTTAATTTAAGACCAAATGGTCAAGACGACATTAAATTATTACCACAAAGAATAGTTATAGTTTAGGAGCGCTAATGCGTCAGAATAGTAAAAATTTATTATGAGAAGCTATGAAAAGATCATGAAATGAAGTAAAACTTTTAAAAATTACGTTTTTCAACTGGATTAAAAGGAAAATAGTTATATTATTGTTAGACCTAAAACGGAGTCATTGTTTACATGAAGAAAAAAAAATTTTAAGTTTATTTTATTTAATTACTATTTATTATTTTTGTTTCAAAAAGATTGGTGTATGTTGTTTATGTCGGAGAGTTTTCAAACTTTTGATTGACAATTTTAATTTGCGAGAAATTTTACTTGCACCGCAAGAGAAACAGTTTTAATTTTTATTTACATTTTTATTGGTATATATATTTATTGGTATCAGACGCACACATGGAAAGTACAGAGCTTCTGTTGAAGTTTGAAATGTGTAAATTTTTAGAAAGCAGTTGAAATTTAGATTGGCACTGACTTCTTTTTGGTGATGATAAGGCGGTCAGTAAATGATTGAAACTTGTATTGCCCCACATCACAGGGCTCCGGTTAAATTTCAAGTTAGGCAGAAAATGTTTAAATTTCGAATGACTATAAATTCCCATTGGTCAGAAAATTTTATTTGAAGCAGACAGGAAACGATAGAAATTAAGGTTGTCATCAGGCTTAAAACATCAGTTAAAATGTCTGGGTTCTAGCTGATAGGCAGGTAGGTACTTTATTTACGTCGCACTAGAGCTGCACAATGGGCTATTAGCGACGATCTGGGAAGCATCCCTGAGGATGATCCGAAGACATGTCATTGCAAATTTGATCCCTCTGAAGAGGGGATGGTTCCCCTGTTTTTGGTAGACCCTACTACCTGAGAGTGAAAGGCCGAGCACTTTTCGGTAGAACAGTTTATAAAGCACCGATCGAGGACCACGCACCCTCGGTTCCTACGCAAGCTGATCAAAGTGGTCACCCACACGCTTACTGACAGCAGCCAGTGATGCTTGACTTCGGTGCTCTACTGAGAAACGTGTTTTTACGATCAGTCCAGTGCCGGACTCTAGCTGATCGGAAAGTGATCAAAAGTTATATTGGCGACAGCTGCCCTTATGAAATAAGATAGCAATAAATATTAAATGTAGAAGCCTAGTAGGTTCCTTCTGTTCCAAGGTCTTTGGAAGTTATATAATTTAATTTAAGTTTATTTGAAATAAATTATGTGTTCTTTAAAATATACCTATTTTTATAGATTAAAAAATGCATAAAAATTTTTTTTTTTTTTGCCTTCACTGCTGATTGCTCTGGTTTGTTTTGACTTCTCTGCAAATTTGTATTTGACGCTTTGCGGTCATATTGATTTTATTTATAGTTCTGATACTGGTCAGAATTAATTTTCGTTGGACGAACATGAAATGCACGATAATGAAGAACAAAAAAAAATATTTTTGATCTTCATCAAATTTTTTTACTTATTTTGAACAGTATTGTTCAGAACTATAAGTGAAGTAGTTACTCCTTATTCAGTATTCAGGTTAAGTATTCTCTTTCCAATAACAACGATATTCCAAAAAAATTTCCATGTGTTTTATTGTTTATTGAGAGCCTAATTACAAGTAAACAAACAATACCAAAACGCTTACATTAAAAAAAAAATATTAATTTTCCAATCAATTTCTTAACAATTACCATTATATATAAAAATCTGATTCACCGATTCCACGGGAAGCTGTTTGTCCTGCTAATTAGGGCAGATTTATTTTCAAACTCAAAACTGTGACTCAAGTTGCCACAATAAGCTAAGTAGGATTCTTGCTGCGATGGCTAAAATCAAACATATGGCTGGAACAGTAAATAAAGCTTTGGAGGCTGAAAGTAAGACATACGACGACAAAGGGTTTGGCGAAAAAGAAGCAAAAAACTTTAACAAATCGCTACCAAGGAAAGTAGGGTAAAATAGATCAAAACCTGTTTGATTACCAGATGAAACAAAGAGGAAGAGTTAAAGCCACCTATTAAGTTTTACCTGACAATTAAATTGATCACTGCGTTTTTAATGCCCCATTCCTCTCTAGTGATTCGACTAATTAAAGTCTTTATCTCACCTACAAATTAAATTGCGATCTTTAGTGTGTATACTCTTTTAAATAAAATTCTAAAAAGAAGCAGGTTAATTCTACTATCATGACTAAACTTGCAGGAGTGTTAAGACACGATAGCAAAAAATGACTGGGGCGGTTAAATATGATTATGTAATAAACCAATGCAAAGTGCAACAGTACGGTATTCACAATAAATGTTCGAAATTGCGACAGCTAATAGTAATATAAAGTACAGTTGCATGATTGGATAGTAGAGAGTATATTAGTGAGAGGATACTAGTAAGTCGAACAAACCCAGATTCGAACATCGGATATATGTCATTCGCAACTGTGATTGGATAGTGAGTATATTAGTGAGAGGATGCTAGTAAGTCGAACAAACCCGGATTCGATGCATTCATCGGATATTTGTCATTCGCAACTGTGATTGGATAGTAGAGAGTATATTAGTGAACGGATACTAGTAAGCTGAACAAACCCGGATTCGATGCATTCATCGGATATATGTCATTCGCAACTGTGATTGGATAGTAGTGAGTATATTAGTGAGAGGATACTAGTAAGTCGAACAAACCCGGATTCGATGCATTCATCGGATATATGTCATTCGCAACTGTGATTGGATAGTAGAGAGTATATTAGTGAGAGGATACTAGTAAGCTGAACAAACCCGGATTCGATGCATTCATCGGATATATGTCATTCGCAACTGTGATTGGATAGTAGTGAGTATATTAGTGAGAGGATACTAGTAAGTCGAACAAACCCGGATTCGATGCATTCATCGGATATATGTCATTCGCAACTGTGATTGGATAGTAGAGAGTATATTAGTGAGAGGATACTAGTAAGCTGAACAAACCCGGATTCGATGCATTCATCGGATATATGTCATTCGCAACTGTGATTGGATAGTAGTGAGTATATTAGTGAGAGGATACTAGTAAGTCGAACAAACCCGGATTCGATGCATTCATCGGATATATGTCATTCGCAACTGTGATTGGATAGTAGAGAGTATATTAGTGAGAGGATACTAGTAAGCTGAACAAACCCGGATTCGATGCATTCATCGGATATATGTCATTCGCAACTGTGATTGGATAGTAGTGAGTATATTAGTGAGAGGATACTAGTAAGTCGAACAAACCCGGATTCGATGCATTCATCGGATATATGTCATTCGCAACTGTGATTGGATAGTAGAGAGTATATTAGTGAGAGGATACTAGTAAGCTGAACAAACCCGGATTCGATGCATTCATCGGATATATGTCATTCGCAACTGTGATTGGATAGTAGTGAGTATATTAGTGAGAGGATACTAGTAAGTCGAACAAACCCGGATTCGATGCATTCATCGGATATATGTCATTCGCAACTGTGATTGGATAGTAGAGAGTATATTAGTGAGAGGATACTAGTAAGCTGAACAAACCCGGATTCGATGCATTCATCGGATATATGTCATTCGCAACTGTGATTGGATAGTAGTGAGTATATTAGTGAGAGGATACTAGTAAGTCGAACAAACCCGGATTCGATGCATTCATCGGATATATGTCATTCGCAACTGTGATTGGATAGTAGAGAGTATATTAGTGAGAGGATACTAGTAAGCTGAACAAACCCGGATTCGATGCATTCATCGGATATATGTCATTCGCAACTGTGATTGGATAGTAGTGAGTATATTAGTGAGAGGATACTAGTAAGTCGAACAAACCCGGATTCGATGCATTCATCGGATATATGTCATTCGCAACTGTGATTGGATAGTAGAGAGTATATTAGTGAGAGGATACTAGTAAGCTGAACAAACCCGGATTCGATGCATTCATCGGATATATGTCATTCGCAACTGTGATTGGATAGTAGTGAGTATATTAGTGAGAGGATACTAGTAAGTCGAACAAACCCGGATTCGATGCATTCATCGGGTATATGTCATTCGCCACTGTGATTTCGAGCGTGGTGTGTGAGCTAACTCATAGTGAAAATACTGACACGCAATTTTGAACATTTATTATTAATATCTTATTGTTGCAACGAAGCATTTTGCATTGATTCTGCAAATTAACACATTTTTCCTCTCGTGTCAATTTTTGCATTCGTGTCTAAACACGACGTTTTAGACCCTACGTTTCTATACAAAAATACACGTTTTAGTACTCTCAACCAATCCTCCAAGTTAGTCCCAAGGTGGCCATGGTCGTAGAATCACTCTGTAAATTGAGGGTGGAGATTGCAAAACCTGCTGTCTATTATTCGCTGATAGATTAATTTATTTATTTTTTTTAGTATGTGTTTGAAGTATTGCAGTTTCATTATTCTAATGTCCTTCTTTGTTGCTTGTAATGGTAATTTGAAAAAATGCTTTCGGATGCGGCGGAATACTATGTTCATGAGTAAGATTATTTCCCTTACTATAATTGAAGAAAATAGTGGGTACAGACTGTTTTCAGACTCGATAAATTGTTTTATGCATCTTCTTTTCTCCTATTGTTGTCATTACGCTGCGGTTGCTCCTTCGAAAATTGTTTGCGTTATCAGGGATTTTGAAGGTAAAGGTTACTCATTCCCACTTTCAAAATCATTTTAACATTTTCCCTCTTGTCTTAATCAAATTTTATTGTGAGATTTTATTTTATAAACGACGTTGAACAGACGACTCGATTCTGAGCTTACGACAATCGGTGTTCAATTCCACAGCATTGTAATGTTAAACCCAACCCAGAAGACAAAAGAGCATCTGAATCAAGTATTGGGGCAAACCATCCTTCGTGGGAGACTTTTTGATGGAAATACCTCGCATTTGAGATACATGGAGAGGAAAAACCACGAAAATCGACAGCGGGGATTCTTACACATGATCCGTCTTCCACTGACGGTATTTTACGTCAGCACAGTTGTCGGGGCAAACCGGGAGCAGAATTCGTATCAAACAGGTGAGATAAAAATCATCTTGATTGAAATAAGCATGAGCATTTGTGATTTTTTTTACATTTCACTACATATATAATAAAAAAATGTTTTCGGTAAAATTCAAGCACCTTTCAGAACCTATGTTAAAATTTAAGGATATTTTCTGTTCTTAAAGGGATTGAAAGTTTTGAGGTCAACTATCGAAATTCGAGGACTGTACTAAGATTTAAGAACACCTAGTCACCTTATTCGTGTATCGCTTATGTGTGAGTTAATCTAAGAATTAAAATTTAATTAAAAACTGAAAACATAACTTATGCTTTTTTTTCAGTTATGGATGGTATGGACGTAATTCCGCCAAGCTGCAACGAAGACGGAAGTTTTCGAAAAAGGCAGTGCACAGGTCCTTTCGGCACTTGTTTTTGCGCTGATGAAGATGGAAAACAAAATGAAAAAATATACCCGAATTGTTAATTTCTTGTCAGAAGCTTGAAACAAACGAGCAAGCAAACATTAATAATAATTATAGCTATAATCATGTTAAAACTGTGCTCAATTTGTGAATCAAAAAGAAACTACAATAACTACTTAAAACCGAAATAAATAACGGCACACTGTAAAAAGTTTAATTTATCACGTAGTATATACACTACAGGAAAAATTGTTTGTCTTAAACAGTCTTAGTTTTCGGAGCAAAAGAAAACAAATCTCAGTGTAAATTGTTGTATATGTCAGGTTCAATTGTATATTGCTTAAAAAAGTAAAAAATAAATAAATAAACGAATACGCAAAGGCTTTACGTCAAACACATTATATATATTTTGTAATTTTTGTAAAATTAAATTGTAAAGAAGCAACTATCCGAATTTTTCAAATAATAAACAAAAGCATCACTTGAATATACTTTAGATAGGGAGCTGTACTCCCTACTCACAGCACTCCTTCATGCTAAAATTAATTTTTAAACATAACACAATTCACAATAATTGGTATAAGAAGAACTTCTACTTTTTACGCTAACAAAAATCCCGTATTCTGAAGGACGACTACAAAACTTTTCCTTAGGAGGGTGAAACAAAGGGGTTTTTCTGAAAAATGAGCTCTTTGCAAAAAAATTCATTACATATGAGCTCTATGCAAAAACAAAAATCGTTAATTTAGGTAAAACCTTGTTATTTAATTAAACCAACAAATTTTGTCCAAAAATTTACATTTTAAGCAGCCATTAAAATTGCTACACCAGGAAGGCGACACACCACGAACGTGAAATTTGCAGGACGGATAAAGCATGTTGTGGTATGCAAATCATTAACTTATCATCGCATTCATGCAGAGCAGGCGGTGGTACGTCACCTATAATGCGTATTAAAAGGAGAGATTTGACAGTAAGTTTCTCATACAGAAATTGAATTTGAGCGTTGTTCTTAGGTAATAAAGTTTTTGTTACGCCTCGTGTAAGAAGGTTAAATGCCTAACAGCATGTGTCTGAGTTTGATCAATGTCGAATTTTGGCCTACCGGGATTGCGGTTCATCATACCGAAGTATTGCTGCTCGCGTTAGTCGAGATTCCATGACTGTTAGCAGAATATGGAATCCATGGGTTCATGATGGTCATATGGAACGCCGTGCAGGATCTCAGCGGCCCCCATCACTAACAGCCGAGAAGACAGCCATGTTTCCACATGGCCTTTAGGGATCGTGCAGCTACATCACGAACCCTGAGTCAACAAATGGGATCATTTTCAAGTCAACAAGTGTCTGCGCGAACAGTTCGACAACGTTTGCAACAGCATGGACGTTCAGCAAGGCGATCATGGCTTATGCTACCCTTGACGCTGCATCACAGGCAGGAGTGCCTCCAATTATGTGATCAAGGACGAACCTGGAGGCAGGAATAGCATGACGTCGTATTTTCAAGCGAATCCAGGTACTGTATACAGCATCATGATGGCCGCATCCATCCGTGTTTGGCGACATCGTGGAGAATGCCCGTTGTCAGCTTGCATTCGACATCGTCATACTGGCCCATCACCTGGAGTAATGGTATGAGGTGCCTTTGGATACACGTCTTGATCACCTCTTGTTCGCATTGCCGACACTTTGAACATCAGCCGTTACATTTCTGATGAGTCAGGGCCAGTTACTCTGCCTTATCTTCGAGGCCTCCATAACGCTACGTTTCAGCAGGACAATGCGCGACCGCATGTTGCCCTCACTGTCCTGACCTTCCTTGACGCAGAACATATTAGCTTGTTGTCCTGACCAACACGCTCTTCTGATCTCTCACCAATTGAAAGCGCCTGGTCAATGCTTGACGAACGACTGGCACTCCACCACTACGGTCGATGAATTGTGGCATAATGTTGAAGGCGTATGGAATGCTGTACCCGTCCATGCTATCCAATCTCTGTTCGACTCGATGTTCGGGAGAATAAGCCAGGAGAGGCTGCTCTGAGTTCTGATTCCTCAATATCTGTACATCCAAATATCCTGAAAATTTAATCACTTGTTCTTCCAACTATAATGTGCGTGCCCAATAAATATCATTCTGTTATTTGCATTCCGGCCTGGTGTAACAATTTTAATGGCCAGTGGTATAAAGAATACTATAAAACTTATTCTAAAATAGCACAATCTAGATATGAGACACTTTTTGAGCTTGATAGGGCACTTCATACATAATTTTTATTGACATAACATCAAAATTGTTTTGTTTTTTGTACTTGTGTCATTTTTTTTTGACGGTATGCGATGTGTGTGTATATATTATACAGAGCGCGAATTATCCGCTCGTCAACATCGTCACATCGGCAACCGAATATTTCGCGATGGCGTAAAAATTGGATGAATGAACCAGGCTGGTATTGATCAAATACATGATAATGGATCAGTATAAGGATGGACAAATACATCAAAATAATTTCTCAAAATAACTGTCAACATTATTTCTTCAACTTATTTTGTTTGTTGTCCAACATACCATATGATGTAAAGTTGTGATAACAAAATTAATATCAATTCAATTTAGATAAAATACCTATAAGAACAATTTTTAATGCGATTGCAAATTTTTGAGACAACTTATGTCACAATTGGATTATAGAACAATTGTAATATAAGTTATGGAATTAAATGAATAAGTATTATAAAACATATTTTCTCCCCTTCTTTCTTTCTTTTTATTTTCATTCGTTTATTTACATATTTATTTATTTTTCTTGTTATACGTATTCATATCTTTATATTTAACTTGCACCTTATACCTATACTTACATTTTTTTGCCTCCCGAGTAAAATATAAATTTAAAGATATTTATTTTTAATTAAGAAATTGAGCCAAAATAAAACGGGGTATAAATAATAATATTAAGAAAATTTACTACAGGAAAAATTCTGCAGATGTAACTGAAAAAATAAAAACATATATTTCGCAATAAAAAACATCAAAGTGAAAAAAATTTCATTAACATTATAATATAATTTAATTGAACATTATAATAACTTATTTTACGTATTTTTTTCTTTGATGTAAATTTATAATAGTTATTATTCATTTGTACAGCTTAATAATTTGTATATCTTGTTTTTAAATTAATACTTTATTTAAAAAAAACTTTCTATTCTTATTTTCTATTTCGTTTATAGACATTGCACTCCTATGTATTCTAATTATTATTAGTTGCGTTTGAAGGGGTCATTTAGCAGACACTTTAATAATTTTTCATAATTTTTTTTTGTTTCAAAAGAGAGCTTTAATATTAACATCAAGTCAAAGGAGAGGTCCGAAAATTTCTAAAGACATATACATATGCTAAAAAATATTTATAAAACGGTTTTACACAATTTTTTATTTTGTTCTTGTCCTTTATAGTGAGCCAAGATGTCGCTAAAACCGATTATGATGCAAATATGATATAAAGCCTGTTTAAAAATTCTGTGTAGCTTTCATTCAATGTATACTAGTGTGTATTTCGGTTATAAGCATCGCTCTTTTGAGAGTCCATTGGCGGATACTTTTATTTAACTAACTCCCTGGCATTACAGTCCATGTTGGACCATGGCCTCACTAACAATTTTTCTCCAAAGTCGCCTGTCTTTTGCTCTCTTTTTCCAGTTTTGGACCTTTAGAATCTTAAGATCTTTGTCCACGTCTAACCATCTCTTGGCCGTCCTTCCTCTTTTCCTTTGCTCTTGGCACTGCCCCTTGAATGTCTTCTTAGTGCCTCTCTTTTCCTCCATTCTCTCAAGGTGTCCTAGCCATTGAATTCGCTTTGCTTTTACGTAATTGATTATATCTTTTTCTTTAAATAGTCTTGAAATTTCGAAATTGTATCGCCTTCTCCAAAGATCGCCCTCTTTGACAGGTTCAAAAATAGTTTTAAGAATTTTTCTTTCCCGGGTATTCAGCATTTTTTCTTGTTTCTGGATTGGAGTCCATGTCTCTGATCCATAGATAATGATTGGTCTGATTATAGTTTTATACACCTAAAGCTTCGTTTTCATCGTTATTACTTTTGATGTTAGCAATCTCTTAAGTTTAAAAAAAACCGCTATTTCAGCATTTATTCTTTGCTTTATCTCTGGCGTAATGTCATTGTTTTCAATCACAACTGAACTTTCAAATTTTGTTTTTTCACAATGTGTAGTTCTGTGTCCATATGCGTTCCCTTACAATCCATTATCATGTATTTAGTCTTATCAATATTTATTTCTGAACCAAAAAGACTAGCTTCTTTGGTTAAGTCTTTAAAAAGATCAACAAGTGCATTTTTACTTCTTGCTATCAATATTACATCATCGGCGAAAGCAGGGACTTGTTTCGTTCTATTAAAAATAGTACCACCTCTATTTGATATTGTGTTACGCATCACTTTTTCAACAAGGTCGATAGAATGTCACCCTGTCTCAATCCAGTCACAATATCAAATTCTCACGACATTTTGTTTTGTACCCTTACTTTCGCTTTAGTAGATGAAGTTGTCATTTTAATCAACCTGATTAATTTATGAGATATGTTAAACTCGTGCAAGGTTTGTAGCATCAATTCTCTATTTATTGAAGGACACTGTGGCGTAACTACCACCAGAAATATTAAATACCAAATCACTAGTTTGTAAGACATGTTAACTCGATTCTATCTTGAGGTACCTTTTGATAGATGAAGGTTGACAAAGTCTAAGATTAATTCCCCACCATGGTGACCCGGACGTGATAAGAACTTGCTAACCTGATGGATGGTCCGCAATAAACAGTTGATTTGCTTTATATAAACTGCTCAAGAAGAAAAAAAAGATTCGGTGAAGTAAATAAAGTCCCCCGGTTCTAAACAATACAGGAAAAAAAATGAGCGAAATACTATAAACAAAATAATGAAGGAAAAATATTAAAAAAATTATGAGCGAAATGCTATAAAAAATAAAGAAAATATAATGAGCAAAATTAACTAAATATCTAAACTAAATATAACTAAATATCTATCACAGATAAAATTCTGGAAGGGGAGTAATGTGGCGTAACTACCACTACAAATATTAAATACCAAATCACTAGTATATAAAACATGTTAACTCGATTCAATCTTGAGGTACCTTTTGATAGATGAAGGTTGACATAGTCGATAAATAAATCCCCACAACACTTTGATTATTTTTCATAATTTCTTGGCTCAAAGTAGAACTTTAATATTAATATCAAGTCAAAGGATAGGTGTCAAAATGTCTACAAATATAAACATATGCTAAAAAAATATTTATGAAACTGTTTTAAACAATTTTTAATTTTGTTCTTGTCCTCTATCGTGAACATAGATGTCACTAAAATCGATGATGATGCAAATATGATATGAGGTGGGTAAAAAAATAAAATTCTGTTTAGCCGTTATTTATGTACAGAAATGTTTATTTTTGTTATGGGCATTGCTCTCCTTTTTCTCTATTAACTGATAGCTAAGTTTGAGGGTTCCATTTGACGGACATTTTAATGCTTTATATATTTTTTCGGTTATAAAGTGAACTTTTATATTAACATCAAGTGATAGGTGTCAAAATTTATAAGAACATATACATTTAGCAAACAATATTTATAAAACTACTTTAACAAATTTTTATTTTGGCCATGTCCTCTATACAGGATGACATGAGAAACTGTATTGCACAAGGTTTTTCAAGCAAGAATCAGACGTTTGTATCCTTGAGCATTTTTCAATCCTTGTGGATGTTATTCTTTGATGCTTCAGCGTCATCAGTAAAAAGTGTATCATTACTTTGGATTATTCAATGCCTGATTGCTTTAGTTATTGCTTCTCCAAAACGGTGGAAGTTATTAAAAGAGCATGTTGAACTCATGACTCGAAAAGAAGTTTCTGTAACGCGATGCGAAAGTTGGGTAGAATGTGTGAAATCCGTTCGATATCAGATAAAGGAAGTAATTTCTGAATCTAATCACTTTCAGAAGAAATTGATGATCCTAAAATTAGCTCTGAAGCTAAATTTTTGGAAATTCTAATGTCTAATTTTTCATTTTTACTTTTATTGTGTGGCATGAAATGCTTTCAGGAGTGGAAGTGTTGCAAATACTTCCTTTCCTTCCCTCACCTTAATGGATTTCAAAATCACCATCCACTAATCAGATCCCGAAATCTCAATGATCTAATTTCCAGATTCAGAGCTAAATCTCTTCCAACAAATGCGAATTTACACAAGTTGTTGTTAATTTACGTCGCACTAGAGCTGCACAATGGGCTATTAGCGACGGTCTGGGAAACATCCCGGAGGATGATCCGAAGACATGCCATCACAATTTTGATCCTCTACGGAGGGAGTGGCACCCCCGCTTCGGTAGCCCGACGACCTGCGCGCGAAGTCGATCACTTTATGGTAGCACAGCTTAACGAGGACCAATACCGCACACCCTCGGTCCCCACGCAGACTGATCCAAATGGTCACCAACCGCACACTGACCGCAGTCAGTGATGCTTGACTTCGGTGATCTGCTGGGAACCGTGTCTTAACGATCAGTCCGCTGTGGGACGCGAATTTACACAAGTGCAAATTAATACAAATCCCTGACGGCCCGTACTGCGGAAGTGTCAACACAAACGATCACTTCTTCCTGGAATGTCCATCATTGCAGAATGCTCTTTAGGAACAGCCCATATCTCTTTTGGATCCAGCGTTTACCGATATCGTTAGCATATTTTTCAATTATTGAACCAAACTCCCATCTCTCTGCAAATTCTTCAGGGCCACAGCTTCTGACTTTTTGGTGCAAGTTCCTGCAGTCTATCAAGCCTCAACCCTAAGATATATTAATGGAAATACAGAGCTATAAGTTAACACAAACAGCTCGTCGCAATCTTCTACAATCTATACCTATAAACAAAAGATTTGTTTATTCCATATCCGGCGTGCCGATATAATCCAAAATTTGCTCCAAGTTAAAAAATTATACATTGGTAGACAGTAACTATTTCATTCCAATATGTCATCAGATAAAAGTACGTGTTTTTTTTTATAATTTACTTAAAAGATATATCACTACATTCAACTCATTGTTTTGCAGTTTAATCATTTCATGTCAATATCAGAGTGATTACTGTAATCTTAAGTTTACTTAAACGTAATCGGTATTAAATTTCGAAATTATAGCAAGATTAAAAAGTTTATTCATAGCATGAACATTAAAATGAAATTTTTGTGTTACTGTCGAATTATGTCTTTTTATACCTCTGATTTTTGAAAAAGAAATAACTTTTGTTGATATCTTTATTACTTATTTACTTTCATTATTTAATCGGATTGAATCGAATTTTTATCAGAATTGTAAAAAAGTTGCAAATATAAATAATTAAAGAAAATAATGAGATATTTCGTTATTTTAAGCTTACAATATAGAATATTAGCCCTCTTTTTCAAGAATGTGAATTTAGTTAAATGGAAAAGAAAAAAGTTATTAGTTATTTTCTCTTATATGTGTATAAATATAATTAATAATACGATTTTTTGTGTACAGTTATGAATTTCCTTCGTTCAACTTTCTTTGAATTATAATTCTTTTCCAAGATTAAAATATTGTGTATAGGAGAAGAAATTTGCTCTTATACCTAGTATTAAACATGAATAATGCTGGGTTTAGATTTCTTTAGTTCTGCACTGTTTAAATTATAATTATTTCAAGATTTATATATTCACCTGAACTTAGTTCAATCAATATTAGTACTAAATGTTCTGTTGGAATGACAGATCATTTAGCACTAATATTCAAAAAAATTTGCATGCATAACTATGTATGTTATGCATGTTCGTGAATAAAAATTATCTATTTTACGAAATTAAGATCGTATTATTAAAAGAGAAATTGTTATATATATATATTTTTTTTAACTCTTAAAAAATTTTCGTAACTGAAGTTTACTTTTTTAGTGTTATTTAGAACACAAAAATACTAAATGGGCAATTCCATGATACAAAGGACAACATAAAAAAGAATAATAAACGTTTAATAGCATCCGTCCATTTTCTAATTTCTTTGTTTTTCATTAACAAATAATAATATAGATATAAAAATATAGATACAAAATCAAAAATCACTGTTTTAAAGTATTTTGTAAAATAGTCAACTTTTATGTTTTTATTCTAAATTAAACATTTATAATTTTCATCTTTTTTTCTTTTATGCATAATAGTATTATTCTATTAAAAATGTCCCATATAAGTTATTTTTCAAAAAAGAAAATAAATATTTTAAATATTTGTAAATGACAAAGAAAATTTAAAAAAAGAAAGCATATCAAAATATAATTTCAGTCACTGTGATATTGCCCATATGATTATTTTTCTTTTGTCAAAATTGGCCAGTATCATGCCAAATTCCTAAAAATGAACCAAATAGCAAATTTAATTCTTGTTTGCTGTCCCTAACCAATTTTTTAACAGATACTACAAGCTCAAAAGCTGTCTAAAATTTAGAATCAGATATGTTTATATTTAATTTTAGCTATTTACACTTTTAATTCATTCATTTTATAAAAATGTGGAATGGAGAATTATATAAAAATATTCTTGTTCCATAAAATTATATAGCTGCAATTGAAACTCAAAATTAAAAAAGTTATAACTTATAAATTTTCTAACTAACGTGCTAAGTTCAATCCCATGTCTGGACTTCCGTTTTTCCTAGCTTTAAAATGTATTCTCAAAGAGTTCAGAAGAGAAGAACAGCTAAAGAAAAACTTGAGTGAGAGGATTGAACAGAAGCTGAATCTTAGTAATATTTGATGGAAACAGTTGTAGATAAGCTTTATTATTGTCTAAATTATAAATGCTTTCATTAAAATATCCGCTGATTTTCGTACCTTTTTTTAGATATTTTTTCCCCTTTTATTAAATATTGATTTTACCTCCGAGTTTGGAGCTTGTTTTATTATTTTTATTTGAATAGTTGTGCTGCTAATTCTTCACTTCAAAAAGAAAAAATTCATTTTCATTTATTTAAAGAATATACAATTTCTGCTTACCTTTTCATTTTTCTTTAACAGTTATGTTTATTTTGATCTTACTAAATATTCTCAATTAAATTAAATATTATTTAACTAATATCAAAACATTATTGTACAAAAAATTGAAATTAGTATATATATTTTTATTAAATAATGCATGTTTTGATCTTTGTTTACCTTAAACACCTATTATCCGAAAAAATCTATTTTCTGGATCTGCTAATATCCTTTCAATTCGGTTGGTATGGGACTTTCTACTGTATCTAATCCACATTTATAGGTCTGAAATTTATAATATGAATTTTGATTTCTGCTAAAAAAAATGATTAAGGTTAATAAGTAATTATTTTTATATATATTCTAGATGAAGCAGCCGAAGGAAAAAAACTCAGTGCTACCCAGCTACAAAGAATGAAAATTAATAGGGAAAAGGCTTTACAACTTAGAAAATCCAGAATTGCTAATGTATCTGATGCTGAAAAGTAATTTTTGAATTTATTTAACAGAAGAATTTGCTTACTCTATCTTTTATCATAAAATTCAGTTTGAATTGTACATGCAAAATCTTATACCAGCTAAAAATTAAAATATATTTATTCAAAAGACTTGATAACGATATTTTTAATGATGTATTTTTGCAGTCTTTGATAGAAGAAAAATTTTAAAAAATTGATGTAATGTATTTTTATTACATGGAATCTAATAAAATTCAATGAAAAAATATTTAAGATGACAAAAATCTTAACAATTGTCTTTTATAGCTTTTTCTAAGCTTAAAATTATTATTAATTTTGGTCTTTGGATCTATATATTTTTAGTGCTAAATATCAATGTTAAAAGAAAATTGGTTAAATAGTTTGTTAACTGCATTTTGTTTTAATCATAAATTTATTTCACATATTTATTTATTAGTGGTCGGAAAAAGAAATTAAGCAAAATAATTTTTTAAAAACGCCAACAGAAGTCCTTATATTCTTCATCAGAAAGATTGGTATATAAAGAGTCAGAAGTCATTTAGTTTACCTAGGATAATAGAATTTTACTAGTGTAAAAAAAATAATAAAAAATTGTGAGATACCACAACTTTAAGTACAGTTCAACTCTTGTGCTTTTAGTACACAATTTTTGCAAGTGTTACTTTTTGTTTGAACACGTGTCATTTATAATCTTGAATCTAAAGATGTGTGTAACTAAAATTTATCAACTTTTGATTTATTCGTTTTTCAAAAATGTTCCTAATCTAGAGCTCAACTAATGAAATGCCTTTATTTTGTATCCTGTATAGTAAGAGACTAATGTGTGTTAAAAGGTTTCTCTATTTTATTTTAAGTATCTTTCTGAAATTCTTTTTTTTTTAATCTTAATATTTTTTTAATGGTTGTTATTATTTATTTGGTACTTTAAGCTATACCTTTTTTACTTTTGATAATTTATTTTAAAACAGGGCTGTAACGCAAAAGGAAGTAAAGTCACTCTTACGTCCACGAGACACTGGAGCTGGATTTTTTGCTGATGAAGATGATGATGACTTCTTTAATACAGATAACATACCCTTGGTAACCCAGCCTGCTCCTTTGTTTGCAGGAGACAGACCTATATGTCTTGAATGTAATGAAGAGTTCAGTGATTCTTATCTACAAACTCATTTTGACCATCATGTTTGCGACAATTGCCGGTAAACTATAAATTTATTAAGAAGAATAAAAGCTTTTTGATGATGATAGGCAAAAATCAACACAAAAATCACTTAACAATATACTAAAATAGCATTGAAACTTTTTTTCTTAACTATTTTAATATATTTTTGATTTTCTCTGTTGTTTTTTGTCTTTTATTAATATTCTTGTTTTTAAAATAGTGACAGACAATTTTAAAAAAAAATTAGGTGAAACAGAATGAGATAAAAATGTATAATTTACTATATTCTGCTTAGTAAAGTTTAAAAATAATTTCTCGCGAGTTTAAAAAATAGTTGCTAAGTTCAACAATCGTGCTGCTAATTGAGAAACACAACATTTTCAAAATTACCATTGTTTGCAAATATTACAATTGGAATACCCTGGCATGTATCTGAAAATATTGTTTCATAGTTTTCCAGTTAGTAGCACTATCTGTTGGCGAACTTTTTTACTATTTTTAAAATTTATTATTAAATTAGTACCTAGTTTTCAAAGCAGAATGCAGTTATTTCCTTCAATTTTCTTTATTTTGTTTTAAAATCTTTTATCATTGTTGGGACTGGCAGTGTAAACTTAGTTAATTTTCTTGTGTATGGTAGCTTTTGCTTTCTGTGCAAAAAAGTAGAATTTTCTTTGTGATAAAACTAACATTGAAAACTAAACATAATTTTAAAGCACAAATGAAAAAGTTAGAAAGACTGACAGTTGTTTTGATATAATAAATTTTTACCTTTAGTATACAAAGGAAAAAGTATTAATTTTGTGCTGTTGATAAATATTGTAAAAACACAATGTATTCAATATTATTTGTACTTTTCATGCTGTTTTAACAAGTTCATTTACTATCGTTGGCAATATGTTATGTTTGATGACAATAATGATGGTATTTGTTTATAGTGCTAATATATTTTTTGCTGTAAAGTTCATTTTGAAATATCAAACATGTATTACTGAGATTTACATTATTGAGTGAGCGATGATCATTGACATTTAATGATGATATGCATTCCATTACTTTTCTCAATTTGTAAACAGTTTTTAACTGGATTCCTTAACTTTCTACCTCCACATTATTATTATTTTTTACTCTCACCCTTCAATTTTTATAAGAAGTGTAATCCACATCAGTAGTTTATTATTTCGTTCATAAAGAAAATATTGAAATTTGTTCTTTATATGCTCGTCATTTTTCAAACTTTAAAAAGTAAAAAATTCTAATTGTTCAGAAAAGAAAAGATATACACTACTGGCCATCCAAATTGCAACACCAAGAAAGACAATAAATATCACAACAAAATTCATTTTGTAGATAACATGTTGACCAAGTATCAAATGATTAAATTTATAGACTTCTGTGAAGTGTGGTTCCTGCCAAAATCAGTAGCCAGAGTAGCCATCATTGTTGGAGATCACCGCTGCCACACGCCTTGGCATTGATTCAAAGAGACTTTGGGTGTGTTCTTGGGGTACAGCAAACCAAGCAGCTTCCACACGTTGCCAAAGTTGATCTGGTGTGGGATACTTGATCAAAAGATGATCACTGTTTTCTATGAGGCATAACTGATCGTTTTTTGAAAAAACCACAAGCAAAACACAATTGCCGAACTTGAAATTGTCGAAATCTCCAAGCTTTGAAGTGGCGCCACAGGTGCGTGTAATGTGCGTCTACACTGAAATTCTAATCATTTGCATATCTCACCTCCGCTAATGCATGTTGTCAATTTCATGTTATTTGCATGCTTCCTTCAGGGTGTGGCCAGCAGTGTAGTTTTTGATTTGTAAAACGTATGCCTCTCAAAAATTTGATTATACACAAAATGTTGATAATGTTTTTATTAAACGATGGCTTCAACCTGTTTTGATATTGTAATGATTCCACTGATTCAGATATGATTTTAAAAAGTATCTGATTTTAGAATCCAGAAATTTTACTTGTGGTCGTCACTATGTTATAAATGATATGCAGTTCCAAAAAGAGAAAAAATTTAATATTTATCGTATAAGGGAAATCTTTGATATTCAAACAAATGAATCTTCGATAACAATCTATAGACAGATATTCAATAATTTTATTTATTTGCTCTAAATTGATGCAAGGCAAACTTTGCACCATGAACAGTTTTATAATACTTGAGAACATCTGATCAGGTGTGTGTTCTGCATGAAATTACTGTATTTTTGAGAAATATTGGACAGCATACCCATATATAAGTGCTGTAAATATCTCTATTAGTGCAATAAATATTTTTTGTGAGAATGGAATCATGTTATGAGCTATAATATTGTGTTATAACTTAAATTTGAAAGATTTTGTTCTGTTGTCAAAAACTTATTTTTGTTTACTTTCTGTTTATCATTGAAGAAAAATATTGTTTTGAAATTTAAAACTTATAGGAAAATCCAACACATTTTTTTTCCTTCAGAGACAATGATGGTGCTCATGCTTTAATAAGTAAAACTGATGCCAAAAAAGAATATCTTTTGAAAGATTGTGATTTAGATAAGAGAGAGCCTCCGTTAAAATACATCTTAAGAAAAAATCCTCACAATGTCCACGGAAATATGAAGCTGTATTTAAGACTTCAGGTAGGTAAAGTCTTAGTTTTGAATTAGTTGCACTCAAATCGAATTGATACTAAATTTAACTGTTAGTGTTGTAACATATGTGTTTTAACTGTAAGAATAACTGTGATTGTAATTGAGAGATAATTGATGCATTGACGTTTTTTAGATTTCTGGAATGAGGTCGTCGTAGTTCTTGTCTAGTATGTTGCTGTCTAATTTAAAAAGGTTAATAAACTTTGCTTTAATGAAACTTTAGGCTTTTTATTATATAGAGGAAATAAAGAAACATTGTGTCATGAGTGGGATAATAGCTGATCCACAGCATATAAGAGAGATAATTGAATTGGAAATTTCAACTGATAAAGATGGGGTGCTGGGATTTTTGGGTTTGGTAAGCTACCTCTCGAAATTTTTTCCTAGTGTCTCGACCATTACTTCTCCTAAATCTTTTGAGAGATAAAGTGGATTTTAATTGGTTACCTGAACATGTTATTGCTTTCAGTAAGAGTAAAGACTGATGCCCAGTGGCTGAGCGGTAGCGCTTCGCTCTGTCATGCCACAGGTCCCTGGTTCGATCCTCGGGCCGGGCAAGGCTGACACAGCCTTACATCTCTTCAGTGGCTCGATAAATGAGTACCAAGCATGCTTGGGAACTAAACACTGGGGGTTCCGCGTTCGGCTTACCACCTGACCGGAACATCTGCTCCTGTACCCCAGGGCCCAAAGTCAAGAAAACTGAGATGGATACAGTAGGCCTTGGCCCTCTATGGGCTGTCGTGACACTGAGTTTAGTTTAGTTTAAGAGTGTTAGTTAAGAGTAGTTAAAAGTTTTTAATAGTTCTAAACCTAGTGTAATGCAATGTGATAGATCGAAAGATGGGATTGAGGCATGTCTTATTCAAGAAGGTCACCCAGTTGTTATAGTTTATACACATGTTGTCTTTAATACACTAGGGACATTTTGGTATTGAGAAAAGTAAAAACCGAGCTAGGGGAGTATGGATAGGCCAGGTACGTCACAAAACATAGAGTTGTCAGTTTTAAAATGTGAAGTTTCTTAAAAATTTCAGAAGTTTAATGTTAAAGAACCTTCAATATCTCATTAATTGTCTGTATTAACAATTTTTAACAAATATTTATTTAAATAACAAACATAATTATATTAGATTAAAACACTCATGCACAGATGATCATATGTTCGTAATAATTGAATAAGAATTCAATTAAAAGAGTTACGTGAAATGATGCTTAGCATTAAACAATATAACCAAATAATAAGTTATTACCAAACATCATTAATATGTAATTTCGAAAAATATAGTTTGTTTTGATGGTAGATTTAATTTATTATCTTATTTTATCATTATTATTACGTATTATTACTAGAAAAATGATATTGTGAGAACATTATTCAGCAAAAACACAAAAAATAATTAGTTTTGTCTATTTTAAAGCAAAGTAATTTAGATTGTAAAGATTGATTTTCTGAAATACTTCGTCACTGATTAAAAAAGATAATTAAAAAATCTGCTTTAAAGCTAAATACGGTTAATGCATTACTTTGTTGGTTATCTTAAATCTTTTTTTTTTTTTGTTTTAATCTGTAGGCATGTGGTAAAAGTTAAATCTGTTTCCAAGCCTACCTTTTTTTTTTTAATAATTAATTTTTTTTCCAAAATTCTGTGAGGTCAATGACTTTAATTAAGTTTTAATTTATTGTATAACTGGTATCGGACAGCCGACCCAATTTTAAGTTATTGACTGTTTTCTACTTTGCAGTCTTGAAATATTGAGCCTAACCCAGGAAACAAGGGACTTCCTGCATCAAGCATTGGGACAAACTAGCTTTCGTGGAAGACTTATTGATAGATTTAACCGGCATTTAAGTTGCAGGGAGAAGCATGAAACTCCCGCAGTTAGCCCAGCGGCAAGGGAATTCTAGCCCATAATCCATCTACCACTACCTATATTTTAATGTGGTTGATGTGAACCAGAAGCAGAATTTGTTAGCAAAACAAGTTCAGCTATAAACAAATGTTAATGAATTGTAAACAAAACAGTTTTACCCAAAAAGAATGCTTATTATAATTGGTTTTTCCCGAATACGGTGATGTCCCTGAGAATTTGCTCAAATGTATCGTTTACTCCTCATCTCCACACAAATTCGGCGAGGTACGACTCCAGATGTTGGCGAGAAGTTCCCTGATGTTTTTCATTTCTCCATTTGGCACTGTCCCAAAGTCGTTTGATTTTCTGAGTGTTTACACCAGTGTGGGATTCCCCTTATACATCATCATCCTCATAAAACAGTAATGTTCCCCTTATAGTTGTAAGAAATATGGCGGAATGCTACATTATTTGGGGATTTTTCGCTTGCACCCAGCTAACGGAAAAGTACTAAACATCCAATCTGAGCTATATGAAAAATTAAAGAAGCTCTTTTTAAGAGCTGCTTTGCTTTAAAATTTATTTATATTTGTTGGCAACTTTTTTTACCTGCTCTAAAGTATATTTAATAATCAATATTTAATAAATTTAATTACTATCAGGTTGAAAATCGAGCTGTGCAAATATTTGGTTCTGAGGAAGCTATAGATGAAAAGAAAGAATTACTAGAAGAAGCATCTTTAAAAAGAAAGAAGAAAGCTTTTGATAAGAAAGTCAAAGGTGAGGTATAAATAATATAAAATTAATTGTAATTAGCTGAAATTTATTCACAGTATTTTGGTTAATATTTTAACTGTTTCACATGTTTGCCAAAGTTTTTTGTTAACTGGTGGTTAAAAATAAATGTTTGTTATATTTTTATGTTTTACTTTTTTCCAGAAAGATATTATGTTTGTATATGAGACATAATCTTGTGATGGTTTTATGGAAATTTCAGTAACATTGATTTAATCAATAATTAATTTATATACTTATCAATTTACTTTTATAAATTCTTACTGAATTTTTTTTTTAATCTAAACTATTGCATTTCTTTCCTATTTTGCCTAAATAAAGGCATGTGCTTTCTTTTTTTAAAAAATACTATGAAACATGTAATTTTCTTATGGTGTGCATTGGAAACATTAAAGAAATGTGTTATTTTCTGCTTTCAGTATCTGTATGTTGGAGGTAACGGACACCATGTCCATGTTGTAAATTTTTCAGTTAATCCATAGGACAATATGTCATGTCATAATAAATGGCGAATTTAGACAGTTTGAAAAGCACCTTGTCCTTCCTCTTGTAATAAAAGATGCAAAAACCTGCTCTCTTCAAAAATAAAATTTTTGTGACTCGGTGTCCTTTACCACCGATGTATAAATATGTTACAGTTATAAATAAGAAATCTGTTTTTTCTCTAATATAAAAGCTTGAAATTTTAGAGTTTTTGTGTGTATTTATAATAAAATTGATAGGAATATGGGATATGTGTGAGCTATTATCAATAGAAAATATGTTTCTCCATTTTCTTAACTAGGATTTATTTTAAGGACAACATTTAAAATTTTTATGCTGTTTTAAAACTTTAGTACTATAAAGATAAAGCTTTAAAAAGAGATCAAAAAAATATATGTTTTTAATTATTACAATTAGTTTTTGTTTAATAATTATAAACTTGTCTTCATAAAATTCACTCAGCACAGTTTAAACCTTAAAATAAATCTCTCTTAAAAAATAACTTTTTAATTAAATGTATTAAATCGGCGTGTTCTTTTCTTCTTAAATTGTATGTTATCAGAAATTTTCAATAATATTTTCATGTTCTAAGTAGTTAATTTAGTAAAAAACAACTGATTTTCAATTTTAGCTAATGTGATTTACTCAAAATATTTTTTTATCTGCTTTTCATGTAACAGATTGTTTGAAAACTCTATTTAAGAAAAACTTAAATATGGTTTGTTGTGTTCTACTTAGGTAATCAGGAAGTTCATTTCTATTAGGTTTCAAAATTAGTTTTCAAGTTTTTCAACAGATGGCACAGTTAACTGAGAGAAACTATAAAACAATATTTTCAAAGCAACCTCCATTTACTGTATAAATGTGTTACAGTTTGAGGACAAAATTAGCAGACCACTGAGCAAATATTTCAGTTGATTTGGTCTAATAAACAGCAGAAAATATCATTTCCCTCTCAGCTGCACTGCCTGTTGAGGCTTGTTCTTCACTATTGTTCTTCATATGCTTTATTAATTGCAAACTAATTTTTGTATAATTTTAACAGCTTTGAGGATGGAAGTAAGAAGTAGTCTATACAGAAAGAAGGATAGCACTCATACTCATGATTATGGACCAGAAGAATACAAAAAAGATGATGACATTTATGTCAAAGCTTGCAATACCTGTGGTCACGAAGTTGAATTTGAGAAAATGTAATGCTTTTAATTTTTTAAAGAAAAGAATCAGTTCGTTAATAATTACATTCAAATGTGATAGTTTTTAAAATAAAAGATTTTAACCATGTTATTAAATTTTGTGTAACAAAATTGTCCATTTTACTTTGTATGTATTTATAAGTCATTGTATATGATTCGTCAATCATATTAGAATTTTACACATTTTTATTTTACGTTGCATCATATTTCAAAGATTAAATTAGAGAACTTCCATTAGATGTTGAATATTATATGTTTTGTAATTGATATTCTAGACATTTTTGTATTCATATGAGTTCTAAACATTATACATTTGTGTTAAATGTTTCTGTTTATTTGCATTATGCTACCAAAGCTATCATTTTGCCGACATTTTATATATATTTATCTTGTTAGATTAATGATTTTGTCATTAAATTGCAGCTTTTTTTATTTTCCTTGAAAAAAAGATTTCTAAGGACAATATTGAACAAATTTTAATTTTTTTATTGTTAAAGTTGAAAGTATTCTAACTATAAACAATCTTTTCTATGTCTACAAAATTATTAGTGAGTTAAGTGTGGATTTATTTAAAAAATATTGTTTTTATTGATGATTCTATAAATGTATATATTATTTCTGTTTTGTTGGTTTTTATATACTTATAAAGAAAACACAAATAAATCTGGAAAGGGATGAAATAAAGGAAAATATTGCATTGTAGCATTAATGGCAAAATTATTCTACTTTTTGAATCGAATGCACATGTAACTATATGCATTATGATTTATAGATGATTTTATTGTGTTACAAAGTATCATACAAAAATGTTTCATGTAACCAAAAGAAGGAAAAAAAACAAAAATTGAATCCAAAATAATTTTAAAACCTTTAAATGAATTTACTTTATAAATGAAAATTACTTTAAAGCTATCAAAAACAAATTGATTATCTCATAATTCTTGTAATAACTACTTTGTAAATAAAGCATTATTTTTTATTTATTAGATTTTATTATTGTAATTTTCAAATTAAAATAGTTGTTCTAATATATTTGTTATTGTACCTTGTTATTAGCTATTGTATGAAAATTACTTTAAAGCCATCAATAACAAGCTAATTATTTCCCAACTTCTGTAATAACTGCTTCATAAATAACGCATATATTTATTTATTAGATTTTATTACAGTAATTTTCATATTAAAATAGTTATTCTAATGTGTTTGTTATTGTACAGTGAGCAAAAAAAAAAAAAAGACATCACGCCAAATAACTTTAGTTCTAGTAATCGAATTTTCACAGTCTTAATGATTCGAATAGTTTACTTCAAATGTGCTAATTACTTAAAGCTAATTACAGTGTCAGACACAAAAATGTACTGTGCGCCAAAAAAAATGGTCCTTATCAGTGTCCCTCATAAACATTCATCAGGGTGATCTGTTTTGTTTTTTGGCACACTGTACATTCTCTGAAAAAGGATATCTATTTTTCGGCGAATTTTGAGTTAGACCAATCAAGAAAGAAGAGTATGTTCGTTGTTCTGCATTAAAAGTAAAATCTTGTAAACAAAGCTCTCTTCCAAACAATAATTTTTCAAATTTGTCCTTATTTAGATCTAAGAGAAACAGTTATTTCTCGTTTAAATTTTCTTTAATTTACAAAATCAATTATTGATACATTTTTGAATATGAATGGAAAAAAAATTTTCCTACTTTTTTTAATTTTATATTTTAGTACAAATATAATTCTGATAATCTAACAGATTTGTTTTAGTAAATATTCTACTGTTTCTTATAGTTAAATAGCGAAATATATTTTTTTCTTGTAATTAAGAGCATCAGAGAAAAAATTTGCAAAAAGGACCCCAATGTCCCATCTACGTCAAAGGGTTACAGCTTTATGCTAATTTCCTTTTTTCCGTATTTCGACATATCTCAAGAGCTTCTAGGCGAATTGAACATTATTGTGTACTATTATAAAACTCGTTTATCCAAAAATAGTTCCATGCAAAAGATTAATTTTTTATTATTTATTTTTAACAGGGGTGCAAACATTTGTGAATTGTAATTTATATAAATTTTTGCTTTGTTTTAAACTAATGAAATATTTAATTGACAAAACCTAAAATTTAAACTAAGTCAGATAGTTTCTGAGCTATAAAATTTTAAAAAAAATTTGTAATTTTAAAAATATATATATATTTAAAAATAATAATATTTTGTATACCTGTACTCTGCTAAAATTTAGATTATAATTTGCATGTAAATTGCTTTTGTACAAACTTGCAAGTTTTTTTTCTTTTTCCAACTAACGCTATTTTAAGTTTCCAGTTTATTTAAAGATTTATATTTTTTATACATATTTTTTTTTTTCGGAGAAAAAAATTCTGTTACAATCATGTTTTGGTGAACATTTTGTTACACTATTTATATTTCAATTACCCATAGTTCATTTTTACTCAGGAATTTTATTTTTTATCTTCTTTATTTGTTCATTTTTTGTAAATTCATACTTTATGAGATTAATGTTTGAATATTGTGAATAAAAAGATTTCCTTTTCTTTTGTTTTACTGATTACTATATTCTTCTCTTTGTGTTTGATTTTTTTTTTTTTTTTTTAACAACGAAATATACTTGTAGGACAATATATATGTACATATAATCACTTCTATACAGACTCATTTTTCATATTTCTCAAGAAATATTTTGAGAATTCTTTCATAACTTTTAAGTGTTTTGGTCATGCAATTTTTCATACAATAAAGTTTATAGCCTTTAGAGGTTTGAAAGACCGGTAATAAATTACGAACGAAAACAGGTATTTTTAAACACTATGCCGGAAAATCAAACAATAAATTGTAGTGATTACTTTGGTTGTTATTTTCAATAACTGCATAAAATATCGTTAACTGGCTTAAATGTGTATGGAGATATGGACATTCTTATAAAAAAAACTAATTACAACTTTAAAAATGTTCAATAAAATTAAGCAAAACTTTTGGAGCAATTTAAAATTAATTGCAAAATTATAAGTTTAAAATTTTTAAAAAAAATCGTTAAAAACAATGCTAGATGTGTGTACTTAATGTGGGTTTTTTAAACTTCATATGCGTGGAAAAATTTAAATAAATTTTTTTTGTAATTTTATAGTGAATTGTATTTGGTTACTAATGAAAAAAAATCTGAATTGAATATCTTAAAAATTACTAAGTTTCAAGCAATTTTCTAAGTTGTTTTAGTACTTTTTGGAAGAAAGTTCGAAATGATCAAGGGTTTTCCACAAATTTCTTTGTGTATCATAAAACAATTAATTCCAAATGATAATACCTCACTATTATCATCTGTACACCAAAATGTGATGTATAAGGAAAGAAAACAATCTTTTATGGGGAATGAAACCCTACAATTCTGATGTTATTTTTTATATATCTGGATTTAGAATATAAAATGAAATTTGTGCAGAACTCCTGGTCATTTTGAACTTTTTTTTTTATTAAGGGTACGAAAACTAGAATTGAGAATTCTTGGATTTTGAAGATATTCAACTCAAATTTTTTTTCATTAGTTGCCAAATACGATTCACTACAAAATTGTTAAGAAAAGAATTCTGAGTTTTTCTGCGCTTGTGTAAAATAAAAGAATTACTTTAAATATTCTTATCTTGCGCAGTTCTTAACGATTTTTTTTTTTTTAATTTTTAAACTAATAATTTTGATGCTGCAGAAATTTTGTTTAATTTTATTGAACATTTTTAAAATTATATAAAAAAAAATAGTGCTAGTCAAAAAATTCGTTTTTATAAAATAGTCCATATTTCCAAAAAAATGTAAGAAATTTCAAAAATTTTATGCAATTATTGCCAGTAACAACCAAAATAATCGATGCAAGTTACAAACTTATTCCTCGATTTTCTGGCATATAGTGTTTAAAAATACTTATTTCTGCCAGTCCCTCAAACCTCGAACTTTATTGATATGTATGAGTAATCACATGACCTAAACAAGAAAGCGTTAAAATATTAGGTATTTCTTGAGAAATGTATTAGTTAAGAAGTGTTTCCATAATTTTTTTCTAACCTTTGTATGTTTATTTTATCTATACAATATATATATAATCTGCACTCTCTGGTAAAAGACACTGCTGGCCACCGTAAATGCAACACCCTGAAGGAAGCATGCAAATAACATGACATTTACAACATGCATTAGCGGAGATGAGATATACAAATTATTAGAATTTCAGCGCAGACGCACATTACGCGCGCCTGTGGCGCCACTTCAAAGCCCTCTTTAAGGCTTGGAGATTTCAAGTTCGGCAATTGTGGTTTATTCAAATAACGATATCACTTTCGCACTCCTCTAGTACGTATTGTCGGTACTTTAAAAAGCCATCGCTACTTCTCCGAGATGCTGGAGCCAGTTGTCCTTCCTTACTTTCAGAGCTTGCCCACAGCCATATTTCAACAGGATAGTGCGCGACCACACGTGGCACGCATTGTCCAAGGGTTCTTCGTCAATCGCCAGATTGAATTGCGTCCCTGGCCAGCTCGCTCTCCGTATCTTCCGCCGATAGAAAACATGTGGTCCATGATTGCTCAACGATTGACCCAGATTACAACCCCAGCTGCCACACCAGATCAACTTTGGCAACGTGTGGAAGCTGCTTGGTTTGCTGTACCCCAAGAACACATCCAAAGTCTCTTTGAATCAATGCCGAGGCGTGTGGCAGCGGTTATCTCCAACAATGGCGGCTACTCTGGCTACTGATTTTGGCAGGAACCACACTTCACAAAAGTATAAATTTAATCATTTGATAGTTGGTCAACATGTTATCTACAACATAAATTTTGTTGTGATATCTGTTGTCTTTCTTGGTGTTGCAATTTGGGTGGCCAGCAGTGTATATTAATAGATCTATTATACCCAATTTAGACATCTTTTTTGTAAATTTTTAATTATCCTCTGATTAATTTTTTTTAGAGTTTTATATTTCATTTTAATTTTTTTTGTACCACTTAAAAATGATAATGGTAAGGTTTTGAGATCCGTATGTTCTTTTTTTGTCGGCGTGCTCGGATTATGACAGGTTGCCTGATGGTCTACATCTACGAGTCTATGTTTTTCATAAGGAAGGTAGTCTAAAAATTGAATCCCACGATGTAGGAAAAATATAATGAAATTAACATCTTGGAAGTTGAAACCCATTTTTCGATTATGGCAGCTATTGTCGTGCCAGAGGGAATAGGGAGGACGGTTCTGGCTCTGGACCATGGGACCAAATAACGTCTGTTTAAAAAGAGGATCGAGGCAGTGAATTTTAACAATTCAGAATCACCAGAAAAGTTTCTATTTTCTTTTTTGGAACTTCATAGAAATTTATTTTTCACCATTTTTTTTTTAAGATATTGTGTTACCAAATAATACTTTATCATCAAAAGTTTGTTAAGTATAAAAAAAAAATATCGTGGATACGAATGTCAAGAATTTAACCTTAAATCGAAGATGGCGTGGTTAGAGGCCTTAAGAAAGCTAATGTGAAATTAAAGAAATTCGTCGTTATGAACAGTTAATTTGATTATTATCTATATGCTTTACAGCAGAAATTAATTCGTTATTGTAACAATAAATTATAATTGTTAATAAATTATAATTATTGTAATTTATTTTATTTCACTTAATCTTTTAAAACGTGTAAGGTCGTCGTCCTAAAATCGGAATGGTTAACATGGTTAGTGGTATTTTTTAGTTTATTTGAATTTTTTTAATAATCTAAAATTTGAGAACAATGCAATTGAGCAAGTTAGGTATTTATCACATAAATAACTATCATTTTTTTTTTTTAATTTAATAAAACCATTCCCACTATTTGTGTTGCGAAATTCACGCTGAAAGAAATTTTAAATGTTGGTAGTAAAGAATACTTTAATTGCATGAAATAAAAACATTCGAAAACAAAACTTGAATGAATTTCGTAAATATTGACTATTGTTAATCTTAAACCAATTTTCCCCCCTTCTTTTTCAAAAAAAATTTAGTTCAAAATCAATTATTAATTATATAATAATGATTCTTTGATGCTGTATTGATCATGTAATAATGATTCTTTGATGATGTGCCATAATTATTTCTTTTTTTCCTTAGAAAAAAAAAAAAAAAAAAAAAAAANAAAAAAAAAAAAAAAAAAAAAAAAAAAGAAACCTTTACTAGGAAATAGAGCAGTTACATTGTGTTTAGTATCTTATCATCTTGAGTCAGATTAAAGGATAATATATGATAAGAAATTGCCAAATTTGAAACCCCTCAAGTACTTATAGTTTTTTAAATGCTGGCTTAGTTTTATTTATGCTGAATTTTTTATATTTATCATAAAAAACTCATGTATATTTTTGTCTTATGAATATTTGTATATTTTTCATGTATATTTTGTTTTATGAACAATACGTCTGCGATTTACGTGTGTAGAAATAACGATATGTGATTCGTAAACCACATCAGCACGAAACGTGCCGTTTAAAGCGAATTACGACAAAAAATCAGCTCAGAAAGTGTCACGTTATAAGATTTGTAATTGATCGACTTGGCTATGGATCATCTTAATAGTAATCACAAGGCGTGTTTTGAAAATTGCGTTGAAATCAATCGCTATGCTCGATTCGTAATACGTTGCTCACAAAACGCGAAGGGTGATTCTCGAATTGCGTCGAACTATTGTGAACTATTCGTAAATTGTGTTTATACGCGTGAGTTTAAAAGTGGGATGCGCAAATATCTCCACGAAATGCAATATGTGATTCATTAATATCGACTTAAAGAACAGCTCTGTCTCTGTTCGATTTGAAGTTGTCAGAGCGAACAAATAGAAAAAAAGCGTAAACGCAGATTTCGAAGAATTAAATTAATGGAAAACTAACGTGTATGTACTATTACACTCTTTTTATACTTAAATAGCTATTTTTTACTTCATTAGCAGTATATATAATTTACCAGCACACTTCATTATGCCATTACAAAACATTTTCTAATGTTGAATGAAAACATTAACTCTAAACAACCACTGATTTTTTTTATTTTTCCATAAAAAATATTCTGAAAGAAAAGAATGGAAAATATAAAAACTACTACTTCCCTGTAAACAGTGTGAAATGCCTAGGCCTTCAATTTGCCTTATCCCCTTTCCCTGTAACCGTTCCTCGACTTGGGTGGTCTGGGCCAACGTGTGTGGCTCCTCCGATATGTGTATGCCAGGTAGATGAAACATTGAGAGATAGAACAGCAAAATTTTTAGATTCTCGTCTGCCATTGCGCAATGCTGCCAGATTTCCTTTTTTATTATTGTTATTTCAATCAAGAGTAAGCATCATCTTTTGAGGTATACGAGTTGTTTATTAAAAGTATGTTAATGTGATTTTTATCATTCAGAATGAAAAAAAGTTTTTTTTTTTTTGTAGTAAATGATCTTGTCAATGTCGGCCAGCTGCGGATTAACGGGGTCAGGATGCAAACGATCTAGATTGGAAATTCTCTTTTTTTAAGATTAAATTTGCAACGTAAACTTGAATGGGCGTGGTTTCAAGATGCTTTAATGAAATAAAATGATGTCAAAATTGCTTTCATATTCCAATTAAAACATCCGTCGTACAAACTTAAGTAACTAGATTATAAATAAGTATTTTCAATATTATAGCGATGATTTAAGGAATGTTGTAAATAAAGTGATTGTAAAAAAAAAATTAATAATAATGTCAAGTAAATAAGAGGATAATTATATGAATCATAATTTTCTGTGAATTATATTTATAAAGTAAACATCACACAAGTATGACAAGGTAAAAAAATTCCAAATAAATTTATTTTTCTTATACACTTTTCATATCATTGGTACATTATTATATCTGATTTTTTTAAAAATTTGTCTAATTCAATTATATAATTACTTTTACAACTATAATACAATAAAAATAATTTACAAATATATTTTCCATCAATTAATTATTTTTCTTTTAATTGAAAGGGTAAAACAAAACTTTAGAAAACATTAAAAGATTATTCAAATAAATATTAATTTATTTCAGTTGTTTTACAATAACCATCGCAAGGTAATTGAAAGTTAAATATTATTTTAACTGAAGAAAAAAATGCCTCCATATTAAAACAGTAAACATGTAGACTAGTTATAGTTATTTAAAATTGATAATGCAAATTTAATTTTAAAAGTATAGAACAGAAATGATTTATAACAAAAACCTTTCAATTTATTATAACACATATTTACGAATGTTTACAGTAATATTAAAAATATGAAATTGTTATTTTAACTGTAGACAGAAAACTGATATAAATGCCAATGTAAATATTTAAAAGCTTGTTCAATATAAGATATGATATAAGGGAATAATACAACAACTGAAAGAATGCAACAAAATCAATAAGTATTGATTACTAATTTATGAAGAAGAAAAAAACAATAAAATATTATGTTTCGAATCAATACATATTAAATTATCGCAATAATATACTTTGATACAATTGATATAAAATATTCTTTGTAAATCATTCTTTCGAATATCTCTAGATAACTAACATTAACTCTAGATAACTAAACATAAACCAGATAACTAAACATAAGATACTTAAGTCATATACTATGAATTAAAAAATGAGTTTAGTTTTATATTTCCTATATTTAACATAGCAACACCAAATTAGCAAAGCTAACTCAAACAAATAAAGATAAGTGACATAATTCAACGTTTAGACTGTCTAGATATCGTCTTTGTTAACGTGTAATTCAGATAACGTTTTAAAGATGTTAGGGTAACATCCCAGCATATGCAAAACTGGGTTGGTAGTCATTTGGACGAATGTTTAGTTATCTAAGGTTAAAACAAAAACTTTTGATTATTCTATAGAAGGAACTTGTATAATACAGAGTTTACAAAACCCATTAACAAATATATTTACAATATTAGGAATATAACTTAAATAAAATATTTCAATAAAAACATCTTTCTTATTCTTATTCAATGTAAATACAACTTTTTGATTTAATAAAAAAAAAATACAACTTTGGTTATTTGTTGTACAAGATTGTTACCCTTACTGGCAACATTTTTAGTAAACAAGCAAGAGGTAGATAAATAAAGCTAAATCATATCATTTATTAATCATACCATTAAAGTTCTATAAAATGATATATTTTTTTATTTTGCTTAAGGGCTTATGAAAGATTTGAAAACTTATCGTAAACATCCTAGCAACTCGGATAAACAGTTTTAAACCGTAGTAAACATAACAATCAAGATTTAAATAAATAATAGATGTCAAAATTATTTATTTTTCTCCTTTAAAAATCTCTAGTATGTTAGATTTTCTTCTATAAAAGTAGGATTTGAAAAAGTTAGCAAAATATTTCTTTAAAATAAATATTTAAACAACTGTACCTAATAACTTAAACATTTTATATTTTATAAAAAAAGGAACAAATATCATAATATTTATTCACTAGGTTAAAATAATCTTACGTTTTTTATAAGATAAAGCAAAAATTATAAAAAATTGCATTTAATAGACTTAACTTAAAATGAACAATAAAACATTATCCTAAATTGTTAATTCCGATTAAATATTTTAAAACTATAACAATGTAGATCATTACTTTGATGAAAGTATCATTTATGAAAATATTACAAACAATCAAAATAAAACAAAGTTTAAAAAAAAATATCAACAATTACATTTAAAAAATTTTTCTTGAATCAACAATAATACGTAACTGGAAATGCTATCTTCCAATTCATATTTCAGTATTACAACAATGTAGATCATTGATGGAACTATCATTTATCAAAATACTAAGGACAATCAAAACAAGTTTAACAATTGCATTTAATAAATTTTACGTGAATCAACAATAATATTATTTTTCCTTAAATTCATAACTTAGATTAAAGGAATATAACAATGAAGATTATTACATTGATGGAATTACGTTTTACAAGAATATTAACGCACCATTAGAAATTCTTAGCAAAGAAATAAACAGAGCTGCCTCATTATAGTAAATCTCTATAGTCCATATTCTTAGGGTAAAAGATTTAAAATACATTTAATATTCCTCTGTAATATTTTTTCAACACCGGTTTCAGCAAGAAATGCAAATGAATCTGTTTCTTCTTTCTTTTAGAAGGAAATACCTGAAAGATAAAAATATAAAATTATAAACAGGCATATAGGAATAATAATAAACAATAAAACTTGTATTCCTAAAATCAAAAGAGTAAAACGTGCCTTATTTCCTCCCAAAATTGTGCATAATTCATTAATATTTGTAAGCTTTTTGAGACAAAAAAAAAAAAGAATAATGAAAATAATAAAATTCAAAAAAAAAAATTCCGGTATTTTGATACTTCTCCAATAGTTCGGGAAATTTCTTGACAAAAAAAATATTTTTAAAATTTTTTACCCACACACCCTTTCTCCTTTGGCTATAGCCAGAGAATAGTGTCTAACAACCAGATGGTATAAATACCTTTTAGTAGGTATGAATAGTATTTATGCCTCTATGAACAACCAATGAACGAGTACGCATTTTATACTTTTTGCTACTATTATATTAATATAGACCTCTAAAATTTTGACAGCAACCACTTTTAGGCAGAAGTTTTACTATACTTGAGGATAAAAAATTTTTTATGGCTGTTTTTCGGAGACTCCGTAGTAATATGAAATTATCTTTTTTGCGAATAATATGCTATTTTTATAACTGCTGTGAGTTTGCATTAGGTCAAGTTAAGCCTATCTAAACCCAGCGTTGTCTACGCTTATTTTAAAAATGGCACAAAACGTCATTATGGAGAAAAGCCACAGTTTTGAGAAAATAAAAAGCGTTTGTGGTCTAATTTTTTAATATTTAAGAGCTTACTCCAATGCTGCATTACCTGGGTTCACAAAAATTTACAAACTGAGAATACAGCATTGATTTTTATTATTTCATCTAGGTGGGAAAATGTTGCCAAATTGTCATTTTTTAAAAATGTTCAATAACTTTTAAAATATTTAGGTCATTTGTCTGTTCTGAAGTTCAGATAATTCTTCACGGAAAGATTATATATAGTTTAAAATCATCGTAATCCTTCAAGTGTAAGGCACTTAAACCATGGCTTTTCTATTTTCCTTGGCGACAGAGCTTCGAAAAACAGCTTTAAACCACCCAGACCCTATTGCTTGGGTTCACGCCAGTATGGCGACAGTTGTCGCCAATGTTCCACAAATGTCGCTAAAACCATACACATGGGTGAAAAATTTGTTGCCTTGGAATAATTTTTTTTATATAATTATATAAAATAATTTTTTAATAATTATTTTAATACGTTTAGAATAAAAATAATTTATTTTTCATCCAATATAACTTAATAAAATTGCTGTACTACTTTTATTGTTCTACGCGTGGAATGGGTGTCAAATGCGTGGTATTCAAATGGAATAACTGTAAGTTGTATGGAACAAAAGTTTTAAAATTAAATGTTGCAATTTCAAAATTACATGTTGTGCTATGTTTTGCCTTCATGTACTGACAGTATAATTGCTCGTCAATGAAATATTTTTTGCTTTATTAGAATTTACCTTATTTAAAATTTTATATATTTTTTCATTTGTTTATCTCTTTACTTTTCTAATGTTATTTAGTGTTTAGACACTGAAAAAGGTTCTTGTGTAGAAAACCGAAAATTTAGTATGTCCATTTCTGTATTGATTTATGCCTTATTTAGTGTGTTTTCACTTTAGTCTTTGCAACTCAAAGTATACCTTATCATTTTGAAAATTAAAAATAATTACCCAAATAAAACAATTAAGAGGTTTACATGAAGTAATTGCTTTAAAAATCCATTGTGGTCATTTAAGTGAAAATGTTTATTTATGTTATGAGATTTTTAAAAGTAAGCTTTGCTTTTGGGGGGATGCAATGTTTTATTAAAAATAAGAAAGTAGCTAGAGAATTTTGTAAAGAATCGCTTATTTCTAGATGAAATAAAATATTTTGAATATCAGGAAACAAAATAATTTAATCATTTAAATAATCTTTTTAAGTTCAACAGCCAAAAATGATTCGTTTATAATTAAATGAATACTAAAATTATTTTATTAACCTAAAAGCAAATTGGTTACCACCATTTAATTTTTTTACAATGCGCTGCCAATGACGACAAAATGACCAAACTTTTGGAATCTTGTTACATTAAACGTCACTAGAGGGCAGCACGATATAACGTGAAAAATAATAAAATTTTCTAAAAATTCAATGTATAAATAAAATACAGTTTGTGTGTACTAATTCAAACAAATGTGTAAAGCAATAATGCGCACTAATTCAAGTAAATTAATTTAACGATAAAAAAATGTATGCGAAATGAATTTATTTTTTACCTTATAGATAAAATTTATGTTGAAAATTATGCTTGGGAGAATAAGGAGAGAAAACACCCAGAGGCACTTGAATTTAAATAATTAAAAATAATAAAAGGAAATAAAAAATATAAATATAAATTTATCAATATCTAATATTGATAAATTTATATTTTTATGAAATTAAAAGTTTTTTGTTTGACTAGAGCCATGACTAACGGTAAAAATTTCATTTGAAATTTTCATTAATTTCTGTCACAATATTTAAGCCATTTTTTGAAAAATTGTGTCTCTTTTATGACGTGATAAATTGAATAACGATAATTCGAAGCATCATTTCATTCTGGAACTGTTCAGAGGTCAATCAACAAGCCTTAAAAAAATTACAACAAACAAATAATAATAGATTTAAATTAATTTATTCATTTAAAAATGTCATTATCCAATTTAATTTTTTGAAATATTTTGCTATTTTCTTAAATTCAGCACTTGGTATGTAATTAAGTCGAGCATTTATGAATAGGCATTTTAAAAATCTCACAATGCTTACCTTTTTAGAATGAAAAAAAGTAGCAAATTTTCTTTTTCTCGTCGGATTTTAAATCAATTTAAAGAAAAAAAATCACGAAACTTATTAACAGGAGCATTAACGTCAAACATTTCGTTAATTTCTATAAACATAATTAAAAATTGTGTTTATAGAATAAAATTAACGAAATTTTTTTATGACTCATTGTTTAAAAATGCATTTAGAAATCGTTAAAATTGCATTATTATCAAATCATTCCCTTAAAATTGGAATGTATAGCAATCTTTACCTTTTACCGAAAGTGATTATTAAAAAGAAAAGATTTTCTTTTTTTTAATTTTAAGAAAATAAAACATCAAAATTCAGACTTCACAATATTTCCATAGTAAATTAACAGTATCCGCTAGGTTCCACGAAAGTGTTTAATTATTAACAATATATTAGTTATTAACTCTTTTATTAATTACAGAAAATGACTCAAGAACTAAAAAGCATTTCTAAAAAAAATTATCTGTGCATTTTTAGTCTTTTGATTTTATTACAAATATTTTTTAAAAATAAAGAAAATCGTCTGCCGTCTCAATTTCAATCACGCTAAGCTTATGTTCCGAAGCTATTCTTCTTCTATGCTTATAAATAATGATAGAAGAAACATTATTAAAGTTTTAGTCAAAGTTTAGTTAAAATAGGAGTTTAGTCAAAGAAGCAAACGTGTACAATTGCCGTACAAATTTTACACGTTTTTAACATACAATCGAATACTGATGTCGGAATTTAATTTTAATAAATATAGTTGTCGTTTGAAAGAATTTAAGTACCACTGAAATGAAGAGATTAAAATCGAATTTGTTATTTTCGACTGAATTACAAGGCGCGTTTTTTCCCTTCCTCAATTCTTGACATTACATCTCATCTTTGTAAGACTTGTTGTGTACAAAACTGTTTTTTCTTTTTAGGTAATTGCTAAGGAATTGAAGAAGATCAACCATATAATTTAACATTTCATTCACTGCGAAGATTTCAGGCGCATTGTCTACGTTTTCTATTATTGTTATCATCATTATTTTTTTTTTATTTTTTTTTTTAGAATTTTTACTTCGAGAGTATGATTGAAAGTGCTCTTCTAAGCACGATAAGAATATCTCTTTGATGAAGTTTTTTTTCTGCATTACATAGAGCCAAATACTTTTAAAATATTTTATAGGCAGCACAAATAATATTGTTATCATACGGAAATGGTTTTATCACTGCAACCACGTAAGTTATTCCAAGTAGTCATATTTATGACAGCACTTGTAGTCTTGATCGTAAGTAAATGTATTCAACGAATACAAAACACCATGATTACAGCTATTCAAGTGTTCAAAGGCAATTTCTAAAATTGCATTGATTACTTATTATTGTCAACTTGATACAGTTTTTTCTTCTTTTTTTTATGTAAAAGTAATTTTAAAGGCCACACTCTATTCCACTATATAACCACTAGAGACTAGACTAGAAATTCCACTAGATAACCACTAGAGACTAGAATTTCATTGACTACATGGAAATTATGATGTTATTCTCCAGCAATGCTCCCCTGAGCAATTGAAAAACGTGGCTTATCATTATATATCTCCTAGCCTTTCAATTAAACGCTTACCAACAGAAATCATGAAAGTGATCAGGGAACATGATTACGTGCATTCATAAATCATAGATTTACTCACTAGTAATTAATCACGATTAAAATAACACTCATAAATTATCCCTTCAATTAAATGCTGACCAACAGAAATCCTTGAATTGCATTGGAAAGTAATCAGAGAACATGGTTGCTTAAAATCCGAAATCATGTATCTTTACTTGCTTGTAATTAATCTCTATTAAAATAATAATCTTATAATAGTCAGAATTACAAGTTAATTGATTTACATGCAACTAATATTTGTAATCAAATACAATTTTAATCATCACCTCGTTTTATTATTATTATTGTACGATGCGAAGTAAGGATATGTATTTTTTAATACATAAAACTATATTTTGTATCATGGGCAACAAAACAGGCAAATTAAATTTTAACATACTTATCCGTACAAAATTTTTAAATTGTGCAAAACCATTTAAAAAAAAGAGCTACAATCTGCCTCTCACCCACAAAAATATCTTATTGCAATAACATTCATTAGCGAGTATTCCAACGAAATAAATTTCAAGATCTATATCAACATTTTGAAATTGAGCAAACCATTTTAAGAAAAGAACTACACATCTCACACG